ATACTCCATAATTTTCCTATCCTAAATTACCCTATAAATTAACCCCAAAATCTTTATCTCCAAATTTCTTTTGTAGGCAGATTTTTTCAAATCTGTCCTGCATCAGCATCAGCCTCTTTTATTTTGGAATTGGAGGGCAGAGAGGAGAGGTTTTCATCAGGCAGAACTGTATCAGGTCAACTTCATCAAGTTATTTGGCCAAAAATAAAAAAATCAATAAATAAATAAAATAAAAATTAACAAAAAAAAAACTTCATCAGGTTATTAAATATGCAAGATGGACTTGTATAGAGCATTTTTGCCAAAAAAAAGAAAAAAAAAAAAGGACTTATGTGGAGCTTCGCTAGTGAAAAGAAAAGCAATAACAATTGTAAGCAGCAGTCCTCTTTGTTGAACCAAAAGAAAACTATAGAAACATTGTTTAAAAGCTTTGACCAGCCTCTAGGTATAAGTCTGGAACTCCACAAAATAAAGTACTCTGAAATAAAATCTACATTAAGAACTTCATACTGCAGTCCAAGTTGATGCAGTGTGGAATGTTGAAAGGTGTAACAAACTCTCCTATACTTAATAATATTAACCACTTCAACACTGCTAACAAAAGCAATGGGAAAGTATTCTTTTATCAGAGTTAAGCAGGAAAAGCAAGTTACTTAAAGCATACCGCAAGCCGTGTGCAATCAATAACTGCAATCAGGTTCACATTGATAACACGTCTCCATGAATTACTGCCATCAGTTTGATCATTCTCAAAAGCTATTCGATCAGCAATGCCAGCACTATGAATGCAGATATCCAGTCCTCCATATGTTGCTACATGCTTCTCAAATGCAGCAGTTATATCTCCTGTCATCAAAAATTAAAAAAAAGAAAAAAAAAAAAGGGGGTGATAATCTGAAACCTCCTTATTCAGGATGGTATGCATTGGCATTGAGAAGCAAACATAAAGGCAACAAGAAATGTCATGACTCAAGAAGAAGAAAGGAACAAGCCTTTAATACTTAAACTTTATGATTGTTCAAAGATTTCAAGAAATGGACACCTAAACATGAAACTTACTATCATCTTTAGTTATCATGCTCTATCACGCAGCTAGAGGCATTAATATTTATTAATAGGAAAGCTTTTCTAACGGCTATGAACTTAAAGCCAATTAGCCAATGCCAACCATTTAGAAGAAAAAGCAAAAAGATAAAACAAGAAGCACACAAAATTTTCATTTACAAAATAAATATCTCTACACAAACCTGTGTTAGTGACATCACATCTTATAAATATAGCAGCTGGGAATTCTAACTTCTCATGGAACTTATCATTCTCCTGTTCTACAAGTGCTGCAACTTCCTTTCCTTTTTCTTCAGAGAAATCAACAATACTCACAAATATTCCTTTTGCTGCAAGAGCTAAACTCAGAGCTTTACCTACATATCAACCATTACATAATACGTAGGATAAGACTATATGACATATTGCACAATCAAAACATTTATAGAATACAAAAAGTAAAGGCATTTATAAAATCCTACCCATAGATGACATCAATCATTGAGTTAACAAATAACATCAATCATTAAAGTTAAAACATCAGGAAAGCTTCCAGAAAGTTGAAGCAATGAACACATTGGTTTGTATGTGCAGATACACACGTGATACAACCAAATACCATTATAAAAGATGTCGAAATGGACTCGATTTCCTCCACACACCAATTCCACTTTAAAAATAGATCTAACAATTAACAATCAAGATCGAAAATAAACTGCAGTAGTCACTTAAATTTTTAAAAAAAAAAAAGAAGAAGAAGAAGAAGAAGAAGAAAAGTTTTCACTATTAAAAATCAAGCGCCTAGAATACAACCTCATTCCTGTTCACTACAGAATCAAATTAAAAACACAACTTTAACCGTTTGATTTCTTGCAGAACCAAACACAACCTCATTCCCCTGTTCTCTACAATATTAGTGCTCAAAATTGAAAATCTCAGCAACTAATGAGACAAAAGATCAAAAAAAAAAAAAAAAATCCAAACTGAAATCAATTCAAATAGGCTCATATTCAACTCTCTCACACGAATTGTTATTCTTCATTTTACCGATCCACACCGAATTTTCTAAAAGACATTGATAAATGGTAAATAACATACATGAGAGGTGGCAAGCACTTGATGAGCTGGAAGACATGCAGGAGCCACATAGGATTAGTTTTATATTTTATAAGGAAAATTACAGATGATCTACTTGTGGATTAAGGTGAGTGCATTTAAAATATTGTGATATCAAAATGTGCAATTAAAAACCTGTATTTTAAACTTTAAGTACTAAATCACTCTTGTCATCCAAATGATATTAGAATTATGTATAATATTTTAAATACCCTTAACCTAAAAAAAAAAAAGATTCAATTGTTGCACAAACTTTTTTTCATAACAATTTTCAAAGATCTACTGAAGTAAAAAATAAAAACCAAACAAAATAACTCTTTGCAAGTAATTGAATAAAATCTTTTAATCTATTGTAGTTTATATTCTAAAGTAAAACTTTATTTCTAATTTTTTTTTATCAATTTTTTTGTGTTTGATTAGAAATTTTGTCACTTGTTTAGAATTTAAAAAATAAATATTCCATTTAAGAATTGAAAGGTTCTACTTTGGTCATATGTAGTTATAAATAATATATTTTTGAGTTTATGCATATTTACTTTTAATTAATTTTAACAATACATGCTAATTATAAATATTTTATACATGTGCAAATTAATTTTTTTTAATTGAATTACACAAGTGATTTGAAGGTGGTTGGCTAAAATGAATTACCTAATTAGTTATTATTGGTTTTTTATGTATTTTGGGCATATGGATAGTAATTAGTTGCCCATAAATGATGACAATGTAAGTGCTTCTAACGAGTCAAATGCATTATAATTTAACTTTTAGTGTTAGGTCAAATGGTGGTGTTTGATAAGAAAGACGTGAAAGGAGTTAAGATAAAAAGCGAAATTTTTTGTTGGGTTTTAGGATAATGATTGATTTACACTTGATCATATCACACTTTCGTAACACAGTTTTGTTTTCCGTTAGCTTCCACACTCCATTAGTCTCCAATCCTCTTCAGATCCATCTTCCTCCTCACATCCATTCTCATCCATCTTCCTCCTCACCATGAAAATTCAGTTCACAAGAAAAACTATGCCACGCACAAGCAAACCCATGTTTTCAATCAGAATTTCTATATCATACCCAATAAAAAAAAAAGAAAGAAAGCGGAATTTGTCACCAATTTCATGCAAGAACCCAAATCTGGGTTCTCACCATGAGAACCCACGGGTTCTCCAAGAGGGGGGAACAGAAGGAAGAAGAGGGGAGGCGAAGGAAAGAAGAAGAAAAAGAAAGGAGGAGGAGGGAACCCAAGTCTGGGTTCTCGGAGAGAAGGGTTCTCCTGGAGTACCCAGAACCCAGATCGGGTTCTCCAGGAGAACCCAGGTCGGGAACCTGGGTTCTCTTGGGAGAAAAAAACAAAAAAGGAAAAAAAGAAAGAAGGTGAGAACCTGGTGAGGTGAGAGTGCAATGGAGACCAACAAAGCGTGGGAGTTAACGAAATTTAACAAAAAAAAAAAAAAAGTGTAATATGGTAGAGTGTAAACCAATCTTTATCTTAGGTTTAATCACCAAAGTATCTTACTACTCTTATTTTAAAATACATGTCTTTTCTTGTTTTATTTAACTTAGTGTTGCCGTTTTGGTATGGGTTAGGATTAGAGTGCAGATGGTACTGAGAAGCTGCTTCTTGTCATTTGCAGCTTTTCTATGAAATTTTATCCCTTCTTATCTGTTTCTCTGTGATCTCCCTAAACTTCCTCTGAATTGATATCCA